TTTAGTAATGTTTTTAAATTGATGCTTTATGTATTTATATATATTTATGGTTTTAACGTTTGTGTGAGTCGCCCAGAGTTCCCCCATTGGGGGGAGATGGGCAGGAGAGAAATTTAATAAATAAATAAATAAAGTCTTATTTATTTTCCAATAGCTAGAAATCAGTCTGGATTCTGGGATGGGGTGTGCTTATTGGAACACCTCCTTAAGCGAAATGGTGAGAATGAGCCTTTGGACATATAAAACCTTCCGGAGGCTACAATAACTGAGATAATCTGCTCTCTGAAGGGAAAAGGGGACAAGACTGAGACAATCCCCTTCAGGCCGGTCCTGTTATCTGAGATGGGGTGTGCTTATAGGAACACCTCCTTAAGTCGAAACTGACAAACTGGGTAAAAAGTAGCTTTCTCCCTGCTGTGGTGAATATCAGATATTGCAGTTATTGTCAGGAAAGCTACACTCCAGAAACGTTAGTCTTGACCTAGAATGTTCAGTGGCCAGTCTTATTCTTACAGGATGCTGAACAATTAGCCTCGTTTCTAAAGTGCCTCCCTGCAAAATGTTTTGCCTGTTTTTTACTCATAGAAGCGGGACTTCCTCTGCAGCGGGTTTGGAAGCGAATAGGGTTGGGGAAAGAGATGTAGGGGTGTCTCCTCCTTTCAGCAATCTGCTCAGTTGCCCAATAAAATTCCAGATTGACAGTTGCAATTAATAGCTAATCATACGACTACTATAGAGGCAGAGCTTGCACAACGTGCTAGACTAGAGTAAAATGGTGATTGGCAGTTTGTGGTTCTGTGTATTGCAGGAAAGACCCTTTATCTTAGTAAATCGGTGAACCAGGCCATCATGGTTGGTTGGCTTGTGTATTACATACGGTTTTGTTAATCCGGGTTTAAGGTTAAATGAGTTGTGTGAGCTCAGAGAAGACTGCATTGACAGCATTTAAACAAACAAAACATATGGATCTCCTCCCTGAAGTTGGGAGGGGATACTAATAGAATAAGTGAATGTGAGAATGAATGAATCAGCTACACGTGTCACATACTGTTCAAAGACAAAATCCATTCTTATCATCATCGTGATAGGCAACTCCAATACTCTTAGTCTTCCTCTGCATGCACCTCCTTCCCCGTTCCGACCGTGGGGAGTAATTGTCTTGCACTTAATAGCTTCTATAGAGATTCTAAATAATGAATGCATGTAAAAGGTTTCAGATTTGCTAAACAAATTTCAGATAATAGATAGCATAGGAAATGGCCCTAAATGGGGATCAGCAGTGTGGCACTCACGATAGCTCTAGATGTCATGTACCGGTTTTTCCGCAAATATATTTCACTCTAAGAAAAAAAAATTAAAGAGCCTAAAAGGGTGTGAGAGAGCCAAACCTCATAAGAGCTTATATTTTATCAGTGTTTATTTTTTAAATAAAAATGATTTTGGAGGGGTGCCCAGGTCATGTTATTCCAAACAGTGTAATGGTTCTTGCTACCTGAAATATTAGCTGGCCCTTGCCTTGGATCTCCTGGTGGTGGTGTTTTTGTTAGCATTGGCTCCAGCAGAAGCTATTCCAGCCTGCTGATTTAGATCCCTTTAAGTGAAGATGCCCAGGGACTGAACCCCTGTTCCTGCCTGTGATTAGCCAAAAGCTAGAAAAGCTTTTTCTTTTCAAGTGTAGGGACTTCAACTCCCCAAATTCCCGGCAGCGGCCATACTAGCTGGAGAGTTCTGGAGTTGAAGTCCATCCCGTCGGAAAGGTACCCAAGTTGGGGAAGTCTAACTAGAATATTTGCATGTTTTTGCCTGCATGGCCAGAGTTCTGTTAATTGCTGTAAAACTGATTCCTTGACAGGTCAACGTCCCGAAAACCCGCAGGACTTACTGCAAGAAATGTGGCAAGCATCAGCCCCACAAAGTCACCCAATACAAGAAGGGTAAAGAGTCTTTGTATGCCCAAGGTAAGCTGTTCTCTTTGGCGCATCACTGTCTCTAGCTACTGTTGCTAGCCCTCCATGCATTACGGCACTGCTTTCTCACTTCCTGATTTCTTTAATTATGAAAGCAAGAGGCCATATTTTGTTTCCACTGTCTTTGATATATTCTTAGGTATAATCACTGTTTCTAAATATATATGCGATGTTTTTTAAAGGCCATTGTTTCCTCTCTGTAATAGGAGAAAAGGGCCACCCTCTCAATTCATTTCCATCTAAACATGAGATACAAAGGGCATGCAGTTTTCACACTGGACTAAGCCTTTCTTTGCAAAGAAAAATGTTTATAACTGATCATGCATATTAAGAACAAAAAGCCCCAGAAGTAGGAAGAACCTGGGATTGTGCACCCTGAAAAGCATGGGGGCAGTGGGGAATTGAAGCATTGAAAGATTCCATAAAGAATAGCAGCCATGTAAATTCCTCACTTTCTAAGCTTCTAAAACTAAGCTTCTAACATTTGCTAACATTTACCACAGATGAGACTTCTGTAGCAGAGAAAAAAGCCATACATTTTAATAAATAAAGATGAAGATTCTGTTGACAAAGTTGGTCATGCCTGTTTACTTGTGAGGCTTCCAACTGAGAAGAAACAGGCCATGATTTTATCTGAGCAGATTGTTTCTTTCTTTTAGGAAAGCGGAGATACGATCGGAAGCGCAGTGGCTATGGTGGTCAGACAAAGCCCATCTTCCGCAAGAAGGTGAGCTTGCTTTGGTGGGCCCTGGGCACTACCTGGACTGTTGAATCTTACCTGAGGAACTGATGTTGGGATCTGTAGAACTGGACCCTTTTTCTTTGCTAGGATGCTGGCAGTGACTGTTGAAGGAATAGGGAATGGCCTTGAAAGACAGCAGGTAAAGCTGCTACCAAGGCAATGGTCAGATAAGAGGGGCTTGAGCCCAGGCCAAGAAAATAATATGGGAAAATGTCTCAGACAAGCCCCTCCCTAGTTGACACGATGATAAAGTGAAGGAGAGGAGAAGCTCATTCAGAAGTGCAAGATTCTGCTACTGTAACTATTACAATGAAAGAAGTCCTTACCTATATGGCATTAATGTCTTAGTCTGGTCTACCTTGTTGGACCAACTGTGACATTACTGAATATGCCCCAGATCAAGAATGGTCTTTTAAAAGCTTTCCAGAAATCTAAGTTGGCTGCTCACCTTCAAGGTCTGAAGCTTCCACTTCTGCATCTCCCCATTTTGCCTTGCAGCAGATGTGGAGGAGGCTGAAAAAGGGAAAGTTTCTGAAATGACCCGGCTTGAGTTTATATGACAACCCTCTCCTTCTTGCTTGCAGGCAAAGACCACCAAAAAGATTGTGCTGAGACTGGAGTGTGTGGAACCAAACTGTAGGTCGAAGAGGATGCTGGCTATTAAGAGGTGCAAGCACTTCGAGTTAGGAGGAGACAAGAAGAGAAAGGTACCACTTTCAGCAATATTACGGGCAGTGGTTGACCCATCACTTTAGGGTTACCACACAAGTCTGGTCTGCTTAGATGACTATGTGCTTAGCAGTTCTGGAGATAATCGCTTTCATTTGGAACACCAGATTAGCAGCAGAATTGAGTTGAATGCAAAGAATAAATGGAAAGTATTTTGAGTAAGGACTATATAGGAGTATGATAAATTTGACTAGAATTTTCTTTTGCCAGGATAAATATTTGAAGATGCACCTTTAATTTTTTTTTTTTTAAATACAATTGTCAGGATGCTGTGACAAATATATTTAAAAGAACTCTAGAGTTGTGGTATCTAATTTGGCACAAGACCATGGGGATTAGGAATTGCAGCCTATCACACTTGGGAAAAATGGGAAGAACCAGGTTGGAAAATGTTATCTGGGGCCTTCCTAGAATTGCATTTCCCGGGATCCTAAGTCCATTAAGTTTGTAATCAAAGTCTAGGTATATTTTCAGTTTTCTAAGATAAGGATTCTTTTTCAAATTGAAAATTCATCAAATGAAATGTGTTTTCATTAGTCACTATAGCAGATACTCAGTGTCTTATTTTTCTTTCACAGGGCCAAGTCATCCAGTTCTAAACATTCTTGGGTATGGAACCCATTAAAATTCTGTCAGAATACACTGATTTGTTGTATTTTCTTTGTTGCTCACTGTTGGGAAATATGCTTAGAGTTCATCTGATATGAATATTATTCTTCCTTACAAAATAAGTGTCAAAATTGATAACAAAATAAGTACAAAATAAGTACAAAATTGGTAACAAAATAAGGAATTTGATTAACTAAAGAAATCGTCACTGATTTGGGGAAATAAATGTGGGAAGCTTTTTTAGATGTCTCCTGCCTTTTGGGAAAGTGTTTCTATCAAATTCTGAGGTTCTACAAATTTATTGTTTAAATTTGGTACATTTACTTGTTTGCTCAAAAGCAAACAAGTAAAACTGTTTCATGTTCCTCCTTTTCAAGACATTAATTGCAATGTATATTATACATATTTGTTGAAAGTCATTAATGTGATGGAGACTATCTTCTGTTTGAAGAAACCTTAACAGAACTTGATCATTTTTCCCCCCTCTTTCCCCACTGGCTCGAAAGAATTGATTAGATTCATTTTGTTTTAGTTTTCCTTCAAGCAGTAACAGCAACTGGAATAAAACTTGAGAGCTTGGCTGACTTGATTATAAGAAGCTGGACCCTCAGCCAGTGGCTGCGTTGGACAAAGGCAGCATACGTCATAGTGAGGCAGAAAAGATTTAGTCAAACTATGGAAGGGGAATCTTCTTGGGGGAAAAAGCATGTTAATGAACAAACGTCAGATTGAGAACTTTATTAAGTGCTGGAATTCTCAAGGTCAAACTAGGGATAGTGCCGTTCTGACACAGGTGCAGAGGCTCCAATCTTGGTTTCTACTCTGGTTCCAATATAGATTTCTGCAACTCATAAAAAACCAAAAGTAACTCTGAGTTACATAATCTAGCTGTTGGATCTTAGGAGGAGCAAAGTGCACCCAAATCCTCTTAAGTAAGAATTTCTTCTGTTATTGCACAAACCTGCCTGTAAAGCTGTTGTATCCTTACAAACACCTTATTCTGATCCAGTGATTGTTGAGAAGCGACTGTGAGTATACACAACTGCACTCATCTTTTCTGTGTCTCCCAAAAGTCAACAGCACAAGAAAACAGGCTGCTGTTCTGCCACCACAGTTGTGCTTGTATGACACGCTGAAAGTTTGACACAAAGCCAGCGAGTCAGTTTTGTTTCGAGCTACACCTCCAGAAAGAAAGGCAAATTATGTCACCCTCTCGAGACTTCAAATCAGCGAAGAATTCAGAAAAGGCCATCTTAGCGCTTGTTGACAATCAGCTTCTTGACTGAAGGAGACTCTACAGCAACCTTGCTCTGATTTCTTTTGGAGGGTTTCTTAGGCTTTGCCTTACAACCTCTTGAAATAATTTATAAGGCAAAAATGCTTCATGTTATAAGGGGTCTTGAGAGTAGCTTTTTCCATTGTCAGTAAAAAGTCAAGTCTGTGTTCACCACTGTCTTCAGCAACACGGTACCAGTTGGATTCACCACCACCTTCAAAAATGAAACCCAGTTGTGTAGCCCCAGATCTTTCCTGGTAGGAAGAATCTGCTGGATCAAACAACTGGGATTACAAGCTAAGCCACTGCCAACAATCACAGTAGCAAGGACGTAAGCCCGTGGTCCACCCATCTCCTGCCGGTTTAATACAGCTATGGCAAAAGCTCCGTCAGAGAGTGGGCGTTCCCACAACTCAAAGTTGTTGTCCTAGAGAAAATAAATGGCATCTATGAGAAGAAGCATGAAGGCGCCCTTAATCAAATTGCGGAGTAAGAGGCCAAGAATGGATTACATTAAATGAATCAAATCTACCTATTTGATCCCTAGTTACAGGGGGCATCATTTAATAACCTGATTGTAAAATGAAATTTTACACTAGGATCGAAACATACCCTTCTCAGTTCTAAAAGTGAACCATCACCAAGCATACATATGAGAATAAAGAGTATTAAAGTTAGTATCAATTCCTTGTAAATAGGCAGTGTAAATTACACAGAATAGAAGTACGTTAAAACTAATGGAACATTTGAGAGAGGGAAGGTCTATTAAATTCTATAGTATGTCATTCATGGTGATTTTTATCACTTGTGTAATGACACACAAATGAAACGATTCAAGTGATGTAAATTTAATTTAACATAAATTTAAGCGCTTTGTCCAGACCAGTTTGGATGCAACAGACTTGTATGTTTTTCAGGGAAGGAAATTTTGTCGGTTGCATCTAAAATCAGCTAAATGGGGGAGGGGGGTGTCCATTAAATCAAAATGTTAGTGTAATATGATTCTGACGCTAAACACAGCTGATAAAACAAAAACATTCTGCAGCTGAAGCCTCCAAGGGCAGACTTACCTTTGTAATTCTGTAGCCCTGCTTGCCCAGGGGATCCTGGTTGATAGCTATCACTTCCTTGTTCTGGAGGAGAGCCTTGGCTTTTGGGCTAATCTGACGCAGGTCGTTGGACATGAGCAGCGGAGCTGCCATGATAGCCCAGAGGGCCATCTGTGTTACTTGCTGGTCCCAGCTCAGGCCAAAATTTCCAATCACCAGCTGGTACAGGAAGAGGAAAGATTAGAATGGATGCCTCTCAACACTATAAAATTCGGCTGGAGAGCAGGAGGTGAGACACCTTGGTGGGTGAAAACTTCCTTCTCCAGGCACATAAAGAATCATAGAGGAGTTCCTGATGCAACCCCTGGGAGATCCCCTTCAAATAACCAGTTTGCAAGTGTTGGAAAGTTCTCTTGGAAACAATGGCTGGGGTTCACACATCCTATTAAGCCCTAACCCAGAGAAGCCAGGTTATGGCTTAATGCGATGTCTGGAGCCCTGTCCCTGCCAGTTGCATCTAATACTGGGTAAAACAGCCATGAGTTGTCCTACAGCTGCAGCAGCTGTTCCACATTTGAGGCAGAAGAAGGGAACAAGGCTTATGGCAAGCCTGGCACTTGGGGCATGGGAGGGTGTGTCTACTGCCTTCCTCAAAACCAGCTGTTCCATTTCAGTAGTTGGTGAATGGGCAACCTGAAGCCCCAGGCCACTTCCTGATGGCTACTATTGCTAAACGTTTTTGCCACAACATCCTGCCGTTTGCAGGTGGGAGACACAGAAATAGGATGGTAAGTCTGATAAGTTTAAGATGGTTTGATGTGATGGAATGGCATGGGACTGGAAGGGGGGTAAAGAACGTGATCTCGTCTCCAGAGCAACGCACTGGAGATAAGAGGCTAACGCTGACGCCCCCCTAACATTCCAGGAGATAGTGAATTCCTGTTCCTGGGAACTGCTGGCCAGTCTGGGAAGATTCTGTGAACAAGCACTAGCTAATAAACCTTGCTGATTGAACCT